AAAGAAAAAGAAAGAAAGAAAGAAAGATAGAGAGAGAGGTTGCAGCCACGGGAAGGAAAAGAAGGAAAGGAAAAAGAAGAAATGAAAAAAAAAAGAAAAAGGAAAAAGAAAAGAAAAGGGAAAAAAGGAAAAAGAGAAAAATGGAAAAAGGAAAATGCATTAAAATTTAAGTGCATTTTTAAAAACTTTTGGGGTGAAATCATAAATATTGAAAATAATTTAAAGTTCCTTGATTAATTGTGAAAATCAAATCAAGCACACTAATAACTCATAATTTAGCATAATTAAACATGTTTAATTCTAGAGGGCATTACAGGATAAAGATATAATTAGAGAGATTAACAGGTTTCACCTAGCTCTAATTATGAATTATTTATGGAGGATTGATCTATATGTAATGACTATATTAAATGGAGACTTCATAGTTTAGAAGTGATTTATGTCTATAATTACGATAGTGCAATTCCAAGTTTCTAGTCGAGTAACTTTTGGAATTAATAGAATTAATTAGTTAATGAAAGAGTTTAATTAATTATTAATTTTATTGGAGCTCAGAATTATAGGTTCATGAGTACCTGCGTCATCCTTGTAATTCTACAAGATACTAAGGGCAAAATGGGAATTTTAAAATTATGGAATTTGAAAATAAAATGTTCAAGGATAATTATTAATTAAATAATGTGATTATTTAAATTTAAATTTGAATTTTAGAACACAAATGTGAAAGGTGTTCTCATAGTGTGAACACCCAGCACAGTGTGAATCACTTTGAGATTCAATTACTTACTCTCCAAGTCATGCAATTGACTTATTTCATGAGTTGTCCAATTTAAAATTCAAATTGATTTAAGTTTGTCTTAAATTGATTTAAAGACACATATTTTCAAAAATATCTTTCGTATTATACCCACTTTAACCCTCTTATCTCTCAAGTTGTCACTTTAGTTTTTTTATTTTTTAGGGATTTTAGTTTTTTATTTTCTTATTAAAAAGCAAATTTCTATAAAAGTTAAAATTACAAGCTAATTTAATTCAAAACAAAACAAAAAGATGAAACCCAACATGTTAAAAATTCAACCAAGAAGGCAATATTCATATATATCTTAACCATTTATTAGAATCTTTCACATTAAGTTAAGGAGAAAAGGTTCCCTAAAAAAAAGAGTAAAAGCAATTAACTGCAAAGCAGAATTCATAATACAACAAAGCGCTTCACACAATTATTTCATAATATTGTTTTATCTACTATAAAAAAAATTTAAAAAAAATATCGTTGTTTATAGTGGGTTGTTTAGAAATTTAATGCGTGTCGAAAGAATCACTTTTTTTTTTTAATTTTAGTTTAGGTTATAAGTTTGGTATAACATTAATATTTAATGTTTTTTTACATCCATTTATTTGAAAATGAAGTATTTTTGGCATATTCTTTTTTTTTATGTTTGTGGATTAAATTTAGCAAAGAGATAATAGTTTAGAGACTTTTATGAGACAAAGTTAACGGTTTCCGTCTAAAATTTAACATAAAATTTAACATAGGGACAATTTATGAGAAATTTTTTGAGTTTAGAGACCATTCATGAGATGAATTGACTACAAGGACTAATTATAGAAAGAAAAAAAAAATTCAGGAACTACTCGTGAATTTAAATATTAATCAATTATTAGGGAAGCTTTTTGTTAAAAAAACAAAGAACTAAGAAAGTTGACATCTTGTATTCCTCATTGTATACACAATTTGTGCCGGTAACGAGAACTCTACCGTTTCTTTTTGGCGGCAAGAACTATACTTAATTTATGCGTGTGTATTTACTTAAAAACATGTTCATTCTCTATATATATAATCGTATATATATTTAAGTAAGTATTTGATATTCATTCATAAAGGCTACGCTATATATAACTTTTTTTAAGAGAAAATTTCATTACTAAATTAACAAATTGCATAAATAATCAAATTATAAAGTACAAAAGAATTTAACTCTGGACATTGACGGGACCCACTAGTAAAGATGGATGAAGCACAAAAGTTAACACTAGTGTGGAGACCCAAAAGGGCAAAGATCCTACACAAACAAAATTGAGTGCCCTAAAGCTCGTTAAAAAGTGATAGGTTAGTGACTCAAATTAATTTTGGGATAGTAACAATTTTGTGTTTTTAGGCTTAGGGCGAACCATCAGTTCTGATAACACTTGTTGGGAAAATCGGGTATTTCCCACTCAAAAACAACTTCACCGTGAACAATACTTGTGAATAGTACCGTGCACGTGAGTAGTGCCGTATATGTGAATAGTACTGTACGCAGTAAACAAACCCGACAAAATAACTATTGAATATTGAAAATAAATAAAAGAACACCAGCATTGATAATGGAGTTTGGTCAAGTACTGTATACGTCTCTGGACACTGTGAACCACTCCATATACTAAAGAGAATAAAGATTAAAAATTAGGCAGCAATTACGATAGTCCACAAATTGAAAATCAAAAGAATTTCCTACAAATTTACAAAGGGGAGAAGCTTTCAGTTTCAGGCATGTCCTTTGTACTTTTAAGATCATGTGTTTTGTACTTTTATCTTTATAATATCTACACTTTCATTTTATGATGCTTGTTTTATTGGTTGGTATTTATTAGTCCCCAGTGTTATATTCCACTCCTTTCTCTTTCATCATCTTTTGTATTATAAGCAGTTATTTTTTTATTCACGGAAAATCGTTAGAAGTAATTTCACATCCTTCCTGTTCTATACTGCAGTAGAAATAATATCACATTATTTAAAATAGTATCAGCACCAAGTGTATTCCCACGTAATTATGGTCCCTTGGTTCTTTACGAAATTTCTTCAAACTACTTGAGTCTTTATTGGTTAGCCAAATGCGTCGAGGATTCAGACTTATGGATCAAGCCGGTGTTCATATCATCATATGTCATGAAAGTAATCATCACAGATATGAAATTTTCTACTTTACTTAATGTGCGAACATTTTAGATTGTTCTTCTTGCTCATGGCTTTGTTTTGCTCTTCATTTGTAATATTATGTTTGTGCATAACATCGGAGCCATTGCTTGGGCAAAGAAATAAGTAGATTATATGTAGTCGACCAACCAAATCCTTCTCTGGGTTTGAGTCTCTGGGTTTCTGTTGTACGTTAATTCTACTCGCTTAGGCCCCTGTTGAATGGAGAAACCTTCTTCTCTTTGATTTCATATTTCTGTTAGGTTTTCCCAACGGATTTTTTTTTTTTCCTTCTGTATTTTTTACACATATTTTTTCCATACTCAAATATAGTGGTTTAACTGCTAATTATTTGTCTTTGGTCTAGCAATTTGATTACACCAAAACTTGCATTTGGTATGCTGAAATTTCAATTGCTGAAATTTCAATGGCTATGAATTAAAAAAAGGAGTAGATGAAACAGATAGAAATGTATTTTATCCCAAAATGACTACATTGGACCACTAGACCTTCCTGAAGTTAAAACATCTAGCCCACACTGCAGCTATACACTATTATCTGTTGATACAAGTAAGAAGCTGATTGGATATTCTTGCAAAGCCTTCTAAACCACTCATTCAGCCATTTCTTTTTCCGCGCCAGTTGTTTCATCTGTTACTTGATCATCTTGAGCCAAGCAATTGTGTTATTTGTTAGCTTTGACTGTAAAGGGAGGAAAAATGGAGAACCAAAAGAACTTTATTGTGTTTTTTTTAAGGGAAAACATCTTGTGTTTAAATTCATTTTTCTGTCAGATTTCCCTGACAGATTCTTATTGTTAGTATTATTATCATTATTATTAGACATGAATTGTTATTAAGTATATATGCTTTTGCTGCTAATTCGTCGTTGGAGTAGCTATTTGAATAAACAAAAATTAAACTTTTAAATTACTAAATTTAGGGATGCCAAACTTGATTCCAATGAGAAAATTTTAATAAATAAATAAATAAATAAAAAAGAAGATAGTTGTAATCTAAACATTTATTTTATCTTGAATAAATATTTCATAAAAAGTACAAAGAGAAAATGTGTTACTTGACCAACAAAGATGATCAGTTGGACTACTGGACCTTTCAAAAGTCAGAAAACACATACAATGATTTTTTTTTAATTGCTTTGGTGTTTTATTATTTTTAAAATACCGATATACACTGCTTATCAACTATCAAATTTGCATTATATTTTTAATTTAATTTAATACATACTTTACGATTAATAAAGAAAAAATATCGGTATTTTAAAAAAAATACAAGAAAAAGTCTTTTTTTTTTAAAGAAGAAATCTAATCTACACAACAGCTCGTCAAGAAGCCAAAAAGTCATCAGAACTGACAAATCTACTGATGACTTATTGGCATCAAGCAGCCAATAAGCTAGTCATCCCAATAAGTCATCACTTCAAAGCGTTTTCTAACACTCATCACGCCATATCTTTTTCCACCCCTCATTTCTATGAAATTCGAAGGGCGCAGAAGTATGAAACTATTTAACAAAGAACAATCATTTTTGTTATATGCATATCTGCTGGTCGATCATCTTAAGTCTCATTCAGTTTGTCAATTTAAATTTTTAATTTAAATTAAAATATGAATATATGAGAGTTTTTAAATGTAAGAAAAAAGTTAGATGAAATTATTTTTAAGAATTTATGTGATTATTTTTAAAAAATTTTAACTATAATAAAATTAAAATTAAAAACTCAAATCGATAAAATCGATAAAATCAACAACGCGTTCACTTAAACAGTTTGGCGATTTGTTAGCTTGATTGAAAAGTAGTGGAAAAATGGCAGAGGCTATACTAGTCAACTTAACGTACCAAATGCTGAAATTTCAATAGCTATAAATTAAAAAAAGGAGTAGATGAAACCGGACCAAAGAGGATCACATTGGACCACTAGACCTACCAGAAGCCAAGTCAGTCAAATTTGGCTTGTTTGAAAAGGAAACCCAGGAAGTAAGAAAAACGTGCAGTGAATAAAAACATCTAGTCCACGCGGCAGCTATCAACTATTATCTGTTGACATAAGTAAGCAGCTGATTGGATATTCTTGCAAAGCCGTTTCTACACCACTCATTCAGCAATTTCGTGATCATCTTGAGCCAATAAACATATACAAGGGCATTGAAGTCTGACTATTGATCATCTTGACCCCAGCAATTCTGTGATTGTAAAGGGAGAAAAAATGGCAGAGGTTATAGCTACCGGATTACAAGATCTCTGAAATCATTCATTAAACATTAAGAAATCGTTATAATAATTTCACGAACTATAACAAGTCGTAGGTCCCCATGAACTATAACAAGCCATGAGTTCCGTGAACTACAACAAACCACGGTTTTTAAATATATTTTTTCATAAACAAGCCCCTTTTTTTAAAATATTTACAAGGCCAAAACTCTTTGAAAACAGGCTAACAAAGAAAGGGATCAGGAATATCCTACCTCGAATTTACCAAACCTCTGGCTAGCGGCGCACTATCCCAGCTTCCGCTTTCTCAAGCCACTCAGTCTGAGTCCTCAGCGATCACTGTTACGAGACAATACTTTAGGATTCCAATCTCATTCCTAAAGTAATTCAGACTCAATCATATCCTTTGATTTCCTATATGTATGCCATAATCAATTTCATGTTTCAAATCATAATTCCAAGGGTTTAAATTCCAAAACATGGATTAAAGGTGCTAATCCATCGACTCTAGGTCCCCAAATGAAGTTAATTTGGGTCCTCCCCGAAAACAGGGGTCAAAACAACAATTTCAGGCCAAATAGGGTCAAACCCCGTGTACACCGGTCGACCGGTGGTGTGCAATCCGGTCGACCACATCGGTTGACCGGTGGCCTAATGTATTCCGGTCGACCGAACCGGTCGACCGGTCCTGTCAACTACACAGGTCGACCTATGAAGAACAGCAGTACGAGAAACTCGCGGAAATCAGTCTGAAAACCTGCAAATTCAGTCCCAAATCACAATATCTCATGGGACACCATCTGAATCCGGGTTCTAGGCACTAAAACAAGTCCAAAGAACCCAAGATCCCCAATTTTTACCCTAGTTTTACTCAAAATCCGTCAAAATTCATTTCGAACCAAAAATAAGTTTTAGAATCTGAAATCTAGAGATTCAAGAGAGGTTTTTCAGAAATCTTACCTTGAATCCTTCTCTTGATGTTGAAAACTCCTTGAAACTTTCCTTTGGTTCGAAATTCGGTTGATTTGAGACAAAACGGGAGAGAGAGATAGCCGAGAGAGAGTGTGAACGAAGAGAGAGAGAGAGTGTGTGTGTGTCACGGAAGGAAGGAAGAAAGGGAAGGAAAAAGAAAAGAAAAGAAAAATAAGTGTCTAAATATTAAAAAAAATGATAATCCAATAATGCGCTCATACACACTTCTGGGTTAAAATAAAATTACTAAGAATATTTAAACACCTTGAAATTATTTAAATTACACGTCAGAAACATTTATTAATAAAAACCAATTAATTAAATCGGATTAGGCACACTAATAAATCTTAATTATCTCTATTAATTTTAATTAATTCTTCGAGGTGTTACAAAAGATTACAAGAGAAATCACACCCCCAAACTCTGAGACTATAGTTTTATCTTTCATAAACTTTAGTGCCGAAAATGGCGCCTCCAAATACAAGTATAATTGGGGTAACTGAAAATACATGGGTGAAAGTCTATATTACCCTTACAAAGATTTAGGCTCGAGACAATAATTGGACTTCATATGTGTAAAAGATGAATCACTTATAACCAAAACCTTTAAAAGAAAATTCAGCATAGTACTATATCATCAATTTGACCAGTATATTTGCATCTACCTCAAAAATGATATTGAAGATGTTTTATTATTATTATTATTATTATTATTATTATTATTATTATTTTCAGATAAAATATGATACTAATGTGGCCTTTTGATCAAATAGCTGGTAGAGTTACTAACATTGTAGTGGAGCAGAGTGATCACAAGGTTCTGGCCACCAATTAGGATCAACATATCGCAAGTGAGCAAAAATATTTTTTTCGCAATAACATACAAAAGTAGTTACTAATTAGTATAAGCTATCAATATCGTGCAACTTATATGAATCCAAAACTCATCCTCCACTTGGAATATCGTGCATTTGTATCAAAAGTCTTGACTCCTGAGATTTACGATGCATTTTCTATTTCAACGTGCATTTGATAGTCATTAGATTCACGTTCCATATTGTATTTCAAAATATATGAATTCTTAATACAATAAGAATACCCTGCTATTTGAATTTAAAATATCTATTTTTTTTTTTGAATGGATCACTTTTTCTCGTCAGTTTCTTCGGACAAAAACCAATCAAGCATACCTGCCAAGTTATGCCCCGATTCTGCATATTACGTTTGAAAATGGACTGTTTATTAACAGGGTGATCAAAATTGTGTATTTTAAAACGTTGGGAAAGTTGTTTCTTAAAAAGGGAATACGAGATATCATAGTTAAACAAGTGAATGTCTTAAGAATTGATAGGTAAAAGTACCCCTTTTGCTTATATGATATGCCTACTTCATTGTTCTCTTTTATTTATTTATTTTTGGAAAAAAAAAGGTCCACAAAGGGGGTGTTCGGATCAACTTTGAGTTGTTATTATATTTTCATTAAAAAATACAATCTCATTTTATAAATTAAAGCATTTTTTTTTTTAAATTGACTACTTGAGTATTTAAAATTAGTACAAAAATTAGGATTAGAGTTGGTGTCTTTACATAATAGTGACACACATTGTTGACAAATAGTATAATTTTACACGAATTCAAGTACCACGTGCAATGTAAATTTTTTTTTTTTTAGCATAGGGTTGGGAATTTAAAATTAACATCTTGTAGTGATGACGAAGACACCTACGTACAACCCCGGACATTGACTAGACCCACTAATAAAGATGGATGAAGTACATGAGTATTGAACACAAGTGTCAAAGCCTAAAGGGCAAAGACCTGCTCTACACAAACAAAATCAAGTGCACCCAAAGCTCGTTAAAAGGAACAATTACAGTTAATGGATAAAATCAGTCGACCAAGACTAAATCCGTAATACTGGAAACAGTAGTTATAATGACCGAGAAAATCTTAAAATTAAATAATGTAATTTACGTATTTAAGTCTAGCATTTTCTTGGAAAATATCATGTTATATTTTTGTGACTAAAAGATTTATGGAAGTAATATTGATATTCCAAAATTCTATAGCAAACTTTACGTTAAGTTCACGTTTTATGATCAAGTAAATTCGAATGATAATTCTTATCGCGGATTAAGATGGGAGAAAATTCAATCCATGAATAGCTTGAGAATTTTAACATTTGAAAATTAAGCATGTGCCGTCTATCTGTCCTTTTCTACGACAGAGTTTAGGAAAGAAGTTATGCGCTCTATGAACTTGGTGAGTCAGAGTTGTTGGACCGTTTACAAGCTTTAGACACAGACGTCAATGACATTCTACAATGTGATCTTCGATCAAGTTTCTGTTACAATGATGATGAAGCACATACAGTGCCAGTATCAATCTCAATTGTTCCATGCAATGACATGCAGCTTAGTTTCAGCCATGATCGAATCAGTTTCTGCAGTGATCAATTTAGCTTCTTCACTGATGATATTGTGGACTGATTGAACAAGTTCAGGTTTGCTGTCTATCTAAGAGTACATCTTTGATACTTTTATTCTTTTCATATATCGTATTTGTACTTTCACTTTAAAGGCCTTTTCTTGGTTGAAATTTATTTATCTCTGATGTTATATCTCATCATCGTTTTCTATTTCATAACCTTTCATATTATAATATACTATGTTTATAATTTATGGGAAATAATTGGTAAAATTTTCACATGTTCCTTCATATTTTCTCAAGTAGAAAGAATATGTCGCAATATCAAAAACTATCAGCACTTGTTATATTGCTACTTAAATTCTGTTCCTTTGATTCTTAATTCTTAAATTTTCTTTCTTCGTGTCTGACCAATTTTAGAGGAAAACTTCAAAATGGTATTAACCTGACAAGGGTTATATTGTATTAATGTTTTGGAAGACTGAAATTCTTGTTCATGTTGTTTCTTCCACTTTAAAGAATGTTCATAATGGAAAGTTTTGTTTTCGAGCAGCCTATACATCACTCAATGAGAATGCTTTGTTCTTCATCCGTTAGACATTTAGTTCTTTTGCACCACTTTCTGGTTATATCATGTGCTCCTCCTAAAGCCATGTCTTTATTTATTTATTTAGTTTAATTTCTTTTACCACTATATTGTAGGCGTTTATGGCTAGCAAATGCCTCAAGGATTTAAAGTCGTGGACGAAGCTGGAGTGCGCATCATAGAAGCAAACATGGTAGATCATTCTTTTGCTTTTCTATAAAAAACTTTTGAACGCGTATCAGCACTTGAGTCTTAATCATCAAAAAACTTTTCTATAACATACTTTTGCTTGCATTTGATGTGGTAGTTGGCTTGAAAATTATGGTTGTTTGTGACAGAACATGCCCTCTATATATTTCTCTCAAAAAACTTGTTTTTTCGGCATTTCGGCATTCCAGCATAGACGAAGTTGGGGATTGAATGCGTATCAGCACTTTGATCTTTTTTGAGTAAGCTCGATATGTTAGTCAGGAGCAAGGTATATTAATCAATAGTTATACAAGTTTTTAAACTTACTGATAGATTAGAAAGTTTTGAATTAGTTTATACATTTTCTCCTCTTCCTTCCAAGGAAGGATATAAAACGATTTGAATTTCAACAAATTATCTCTTTTCATTTGAGTTCATGCGCACCAATTTTTACACTTTGATCTATGTCTATTCGAATACAGTGTTATGTTAATACTCTACATAAAAACATGCATTTCGATATTTTTTTTTTTTCTTTTTGCAAAATAGTTAACTTGCTTAGCCCCCGGAATAACCGAAAGAACTTTTTTGTGTTTTTTTTACGAGAAAACTTCTTGTGTTTAAATTCATTTTTTTGTCAGATTTCTCTGACAGATTCTTTTTGTTACTATTATTATCATTATTTTTAGACATGAATTGTTATTAAGTATATATGCTTTTGCTGCTAATTCGTCGTTGGAGTAGCTATTTGAATAAACAAAAATTAAACATTTAAATTACTAAATTTGGGGATGCAAAACTTGATTCCAATGAGAAAATTTAAAAATTAAGTAAATAAATAAAGAAGAAGATAGTTGTAATCGTAAGCATTTATTTCATCTTGAGTAAATATTTCATAGAAAGTAAAAAGAGAAAATGTGTTATTTCACCGATAAACACGGAAACTTGGACCACTGGACCTACCAGAAGTGAGAAAACACATGCAATGATTTTTTTTTAATTGCTCTGGTGTTTTGTTTTTTTAAAAACACGAGCATTCACTACTTACATTACATTTTTAATTTAATCTAATACTAATCTAACGTTTAATAAACAGAATTATAATATTTGAAAAAAAAAATCAAAGAAAGCCTTTTTTTTAAAAAAAAGAAAATTTAATCCACACAACAGCTCATCAAGAATTCAAAAAGTCATCAGAACTGACAAATCTAGTAATGAATAATTGGCATCAAGCAGCCTATAAGTCAGTCATCCCAATAAGTCATCAACTTCAAAGTGTTTTCTACACCACTCATCACGCCATATCTTTTTTCACCCCTCATTGCTATGAAATTTAAAAGGGTGCAGAATTATGAAACTATTATACAAAGAACAATCATTTCTGTTATATGCATATTTGCTAGTTCGATCATTTTAAACACTATTTAATTTATTAATTTAAGTTTTTAATTTAAATTTAAATATGATTATATAATTATTTTAAAAAATTTTTAATTATAATAAAATTTAAATTAATTAAATAAATAAATACTTAACTTTAAAAGTTTGACGATTTGTTAGCTTAACTGAAAAGTACAGGAAAAATGGCAGAGGCTATACTAGTCAACTTAACGTACTAAATGTTGAAATTTATATGAGATTTTTTATTATAATAAAAAAATTAATATGACCGTTTATAAAAAATTTTTATTGTAAATTTCAACGCTCTTATGTTTACATATATTGTAATGAACTATTAATATAAAAGTGCAGTTTTTAACATTAAATAAATAGAGTTTCCCTATAACTCACGTCAATTGGGAACCTTGCATATGGTATGCTGAAATTTCAACAGCTATGAATTAAAAATGTAATTCATCCAGAAAGGACCACATTGGACCTACCAGAAATCAAGTCAGTCAAGTCTAAAATTTGCCGTGTTTGAAAAAGAAACGCAGGAAGTCAGAGAAACGTGCAGTGAAATTCAAACATCTAGTCCACACTGCAGCTATCAACTATTATCTGTTGAAATAAGTAAGAAGCTGATTGGATATTCTCGCAAACCCTTTTCTACACCTCTCATTCAGCTATTTCTTTTTCCACGCCAATATCTATTACTTGATCATCTTGAGCCAAGCAATTGTATGATTTGTTAGCTTTGATTGTAAAGGGAGAAAAAATGGCAGAGGTTATAGCTCTGGTGACCCCGGTTATGGACGTGTTGCTTCAGCTGCTAATGAAAGAAGCAAACTCCTTCAAGCGCCTCCGTAAAGAAGTGAAGAGCCTAAAAGACGAATTGGAGTGTGTCCAGTGTTTTCTCAAAGATGCAGAGGAAAGGTCGGAGAAGGAAGACATGAGAGATGGCGTAAAAGTGTGGTTGAATCAAGTAAGGGAAGAAGCTTTTCACATAGAAGATGTCATTGATTTATATATCCTGCATGTGGCACAACACTGTCACTCGCGTGGATTCGTAGGCTTGCTCCGAAGAACAGCTCGCATGTTTAAAGCCTTGAAGCCACGTTATAACTTCATTTCTGAAATCAAGGAGATCAAAGCATCGCTACGCGAAATCAAAGATAGAGGTGAACGGTATGGCTTCAATTCATCGGCCCCAGAATCAAGTAGTAAGGTAACTGAACTTGAGCACTGCGGAATTCGGTTGGGTTCCTTGTTCATTGAGGATGATGAATTTTTGGACCTTCATTCCACTCGTGATGAACTGATGACAAGTTTGGTAGAAGGAGCGCCGACTCGCACGGTGATTTCATTGTTAGGCATGGGCGGAATTGGTAAAACTACTCTTGTAAGGAAAGCCTACGATGCCAAAGTCGTTAAAGCGCATTTTGATTGTTATGCTTGGATTACTGTGTCTCAATCATATAACTTGGAGAAGCTCCTAGGAACAATGGCTAAGCAGCTCTGTCCAGAATTTAAAATCGACGCAATTGAAGAGCTAATTGGTCGCCTCAGAAATTTTTTGGAGACAAAGAGGTATCTTATTGTTTTTGATGATGTTTGGCAAGTAGATTTTTGGGGAGTTATAAAACATGCTTTGCCTAGTAATGGTAGAGGTAGTAGGATAATTGTTACAACACGTAATGATATGGTCATAGCTGCTTGTCAGGAGGACTCTTGTCATCTTGTCAAAAAGTTGTCGCCATTGTCTCATGAAATAGCTTGGCAACTATTTTGCAAAAAGGCATTCCGTTTTAAACTTGAAGGACATTGCTCCCAAGAGTTGGAGATCTTATCTCTTGAAATTGTGAGAAAATGCCAAGGTTTGCCGCTTGTGATTTCATCGGTAGCCAGTTTGTTGTCAACTAAGGAAGAAAATGTGTCCGAATGGCAAAAACTGAATGACACTCTTAATAGTCAGTTCCAAACAAATCCACACCTTTCAAGCATTTCAAAAATCCTCTCTCTTAGTTATGAAAACCTTCCTTCCTATCTTAAACCTTGCTTCTTATATTTTGGCATGTTTCCTCAGGGTCGTTCAATTTCGGAGATAACATTGTATAGATATTGGATTGCTGAGGGTTTTATTAAAGAAAAGAGAGATAAGACATTGGAACAAGTTGCTGAAGAGTATCTAAATGAACTCATCCAAAGAAACATGGTTCAAATACAAGGTTTACTTTGGGGCTGTGTACCAAATAGGTTGTGTCAAGTACATGATTTGATGCGTGACATAATTCTATCAAGAGCAGATGAATTGAATTTCTATAAAATTGTGGATGGAAAAATGTCCATTGTTCGAGGAAAGTGTCGTCGCATATCTATCTATAATTGTGAAAACGATTGCATGAAGGTGAATGAAATCTCGGGAGTTCGTTCGATTTTACTTTTCAATATTGATGGTCAACCAACAGACTTTCACTTGGATAGTTGGTTTGAAAAATGCAAGCTTCTAAAGGTGTTAAATCTTACAGACATTCCTATCGAACACCTCCCCAAAGGATTAGGGTACTTGTTCCACCTAAAGTCCTTAACCCTGAGGAATACAAAGGTGAAGAGACTTCCAAAGTCCATCGGTAAACTCCAAAATCTACAGCTATTGGATCTCATGAATACCCCAGTGCGAGAGCTCCCAATCGAGATCAATAAGCTTCAAAATCTACGACACATATACGGATTTTCTTATAAACGCACCATCAGATTTTGTTTTGAGGAACTCCAAGGCCTCAGGATGCATGAAGGAATTGGTTGTTTGGGGGAGTTACAGACACTTGAGTTTCTTGAAGTAAGCAATGACGGAACTGGCATCATTACAGAGCTGGAAGGACTGAGACAATTGAGAATTTTAAGCATTTACAAATTGACAGCGGAACTTGGAGCTACTCTCTGCGCCTCTATTGTGAAAATGAATCATCTTGAATGCTTAGCTTTGGTGTCGAATTCTGAAGCTGAGATTCTAGATTTACAGGCGATTTCATCGCCACCTCTTTCTCTAAGGATTCTCAGCTTCATAGGCAGATTGTCAAAAATTTCGAACTGGATTTTGAAACTTTCCAATCTACGTACACTGACCTTGTTATTCTCAAGGTTAAGTGATGATCCTTTAAAACGCCTCCAAAGTTTGCCTAATCTTGAGTATCTTTATCTCTACAAGGCCTATGATGGAGAGGAAATTCACATTGAGGAAGATGGATTTCAGAAGCTGAAATTCCTTGAACTATGTGACTTGAACGAAGTAAGAGTGATCAAAATAGGCAGAGGATCATTGCCTCTTCTTGAAGAGCTAAGGATTGGAGCTTGTCCGCAACTGAAGGAAGTGCCGTCCAACATTCAACACTTGAGAAACCTCAAAATTGTCGAAATCTCTGAGATGCCGATGGAATTCGTGCTTGCTATGCAACCAGATGGAGACCAGTGTTGCTGGAAAGTTAAGCATGTACCAAATGTTTGGTCATGGAATAAATTTGAAAGAGATAGGTTTGATGCCTTATAGGTTTGTGTTTTAGAGTTAATTGTCTTTGTAGTTTTATGGTTCTTGTACTAAACTTTCTATTACGTTTTGGCATAGTTTAGTTTTGAATCTTCAGATTCAACTACTTCATTTATGCAGTTGAGCAATGCTGTTTCCTTTAGCAGGGTATTATTATTATTATTTTTCTATTATTTACATTCTTTTTTTTCGTTTGTTTAATTATTAACGATGCTTAGCTTTCTTTTTTCTAAAAATATTGGTTTAAATAAGAAGGAACTAAATAAACAATCTAGCTCTGATATCTCTTGCCCATCAGAAAGTTGGCCCTGAAAAAGTGATTCTTATAAACAATCTAGCTCTGATATCTAAAAATTTTGATCATTTTAGCCATACCTTGTAAACCGCTCCAAATCCACCTTCACCCAACTTGTTGTCATCAGAGAAGTTGTCCGTTGCTGCTCGAATTGTACTCAAATCGAACTGCAATGACTCCACAGTTGTAATCTCATTCCCAGCTGCAAAGACCCAAGAAAGTGAATAAAAATTTAAAAAATTACGGCAAAATCACAATTTAAACAAGATGGAAGCTGTTTGTTTACCATTTTGATCGTTTTGAACAACGTTTTTCTCATCCCTTGATCTTTTCTTTAGCCAATAACATACTCCTATTGGTATCAGAAACAAGATGGCGACTGAAATTGGAGCACAGATAGCAACTATTGTTGTTGTTGAGAATTTATTATTTCCTGCAAAAAGGAGAATGCGGTACACATATATATTAGATGCAAAATCAGAGTACTCTGCTTATTGTTTTTTTTTTTTTTTTTTTAAATTTACCTCTGGATCTTATTGCGGACTCTGAAGGTGGAGATGGTGGTGGTAGTGGAGGTCAAGAAATCACTGGTGCTGGGTTTGGTGCCGAGACCGTGATCCTGTAAAACGGGTACACTTCATATCGGATGTTGCAACTAGGATTGAAAATATTTCCACCCTGTTTTCCAACACAACATTTTGGGAGAAGTACAACGTTTCCTTGAAGACATCGATCGCAGTTGGAGCTGGAGAGATCTGGGGTGCATTGCACAAGGCTGTATAGTGTTTGAGACGTGGAGAGGCTTTCTTTCTTCGTCGCAAACTTCTTCTCACCAGATGGGGCGCCCACGGCTGCAGACACCAAGTCCTTCATAGTGCTTTCCAACAGTGGAGTAAACCGTCCAGGGTCCGTTGCATTCTTTGTGTTACACATGCACCAAGTTTTTTGGTCCAGGACGCCAAAGAATGACTTGTTTGAGTAGCGCAGCGTGCATTTGTCGTACCATATCGCTGCTTCTTTCTCTACAGGGCAGGCAGGTTCGGCAATGTCGCTGATTGCGGTCTCGGCACAGTTTTGGCAGTCATCCGGGGTGACGTCTCCACGACACAGAAGGGATCCGTAGACTGTAGATGTGGGGTCTCGGCCAACGGTGACGTTGTAGTATCCGGTGTTGAGAGTGGCATTGGAGGCGAGGGAAGAGAGGAGGCGATTAAGGTTGAATTGGTAGGTGCTGTTGGGAGGGAAAGTGGTTGTGTTTGAGCATATATGGTATCGATATTCTAGTGCAGCAGCTTCTCTGATCAAACTAAGGAAGCTAAGTAGAACAGCGATTACCATATGGGAAGGCATCTTGATGATCACCTCTGTTCCTTTTGTTATCAGAATTGTTGAAGAACAACTTCGGTTTTACATATATGCTCTCTTCTCTGTTTCTTCTTCTTCTTCTTTTTCTTTTATTTTTTATCTTTATTTTTTTTATTACTTTTGTTGTTTGTTTTTAATAGATGTAGATTTTTGTCTCTGATTGCAAAAAAAAACTTAGGAATGTAGATGTGGACGTGGGTGGTAAGTCGCGTCTACGAAGGTGAAGTCAAGTCAGCATTTTTTGGTTGTCTATGACTAGCTAGTCCACTAACTTGAAGAAAATTATTAATCAAATTTACAAGAGGCTAGAAAAGAGAATTCAATTAAAAACAAAAACAAAGAATACACAAAATCATTTTAGGTTGCTCCTTAAATTTACCATTTAGGCTACTAGGATGCAACTTATATTCAGTGTAGTGGTTGCTTTATTCGCATTCATTGTGCAATTTTTTTTTAAAGGTAATTAAACTGGTGGGCTGCAAACATGAAAACCAAACACTAAAGCTGGACTTTTTTTTTTCTTGGCTAGCAAAAACAAGGGGATCGGTGTTGTCAGTGGTGGAGTCAGGATTTCTGTAACGACCCTTACAAACCGCCATAATTATTTTAACTTTCAAACATTTACCTCTTAAAAGAATGCAGAAAATAGATAAGCTTGATATAATTTACTTTGCATAACAAAATGAATGACTTAGAAAAATTATATTTTTTTTTAAATAATAATAAAATTTACTTCTAAAACCCATATTGTGAAATAAAATTTAAAAGTTCAAAGTAGCCTTCAAGTAAAAACCACCAGAACCAAAGTTTTAGAAAAATAATAATAAAAATAAAACCTTATTTAAAATTAAACACTTTCATTTCATGATAATTTCTCCCGTTTTTCAATCCCACATAGCTCGTATCTACTCCAAGATTCTCCATGGGTACATCTTACCTATTAGTTTGTCTGCAACATGAATTAACTTTTATAAGTAAGGGCTTAGTAAGACACTTAAATCTCACAAACGTAAATAAACATTTTTACTCATCATACTATAAGCGTCACCATAAGAACAAACATTTTTAAAAATATTTTTAACTTTAAAATCCATCATATATTGGGCCTGGTGTTGGTGACGCCCCTCCTTTGAGGCCGCCACTGTTACTAACTTTTTAACTTGTACTTACTGGGGTTTCTTAAAATATGCGGAACATTTTTTTTCGAATTTACTTGATCGAAAACATGAACTTAACATGAAATCTGCTACAGAATTTAGGAATACATATATTGATTCCATAAATCCTTCAGTCACATAATATTTTCTAGGAAAATCCTTGGCTTAAATAAATAAATTGTATTATTTAAAGTCTGGAATTTTCTCAGTCATTACAGTGTTGTACCATCATAGCGTGCTAATCACAGAAAGCATGGGGTAGCAAATCCCATACCAACAATGACAAATAAAAGACCGCTCACCGATCACCATAAAGAGTGTACAATGCCATTTAAAAACATAAAAATATGTATACACATTTTCTTCAAAACGTCATCATAAGAGAAGCATTAAAAATGTCATAACATCATAGTAAACATCAAAATCATATACTTCTCAATTATTCAATTCATGTTGTAGGTGAGAGTGTACTTTCCTAAACGCCTTACTTAATCTTTTTAAATTTCTCAATGGTGATGTGACAAATGAGGTCATTGGGTGTTCACCTCTTGAACTGTTCATGCCATAAATCATAAATAATAAAATTAAAAACATTAATTCATCAAATCCATCCATTATATTAAAACAACGCCTAAAAGGCCAATTTCATCATTTAATAACATCGAGACACAAAAACCCAACAATTACACAAAATTACAAAATTTTACAAAAACTGGCAGCCTGACCTTTACCTCTAAAAAAATTCATAAAAATTCTACAGAACTCTAAATGACCTGAAACGGGTTTCAAATTAAATTAGACATCTAGAGCTTTCCAGTGACACTTTATATGTTAAAAACAGAGTCTGTTTGTTCCCTCAAACACTATTATAAAGTCAGGTCATAAAATCTAAAAAAATTCCAGCACTCTATAATCCGAGATTAGCCAAATAATTCCCTTTTAAATCATCCAAAACTCATTAAAAATCATGTCTATCAGCCTATTACATTAACCACAACTCTAACATGCTTTCAACATAATCATATCCAAAATTATTAAAACATACGTCATACAATAACTCACATCAACACCTAACTAGAAATCATATATAATTCAAATACACATGAAAACAACCTAAACATGTTTCTAACATTAACAATAGTAAATAAAAAAATAAAGAAAATAGAGGATTAACAAATCACATAATCGTAAAAGAAAATCTAAACATGCCATTCTATCAATTTCAAAAAAAAAAAAAAAAATCATCAATCGAAATTATAATGATGACGGGGAATAGGAATTTTGTTTCACACTGATTCTATCTCATTGACAGACCATTAATTAATCACCCAATTCATGCCAATTAATTTCAATAAACCTTATAAGGAGGGAGGTCTTGAATTCAAGTGTTAGGGGACGCGAAGAAATCTGTAAGGATCGCTAGGTGCCCAGAGAATCCCACAAGTAAATGACCCGACTATACCGGGAGTCCCGCGAGGTGGACTCCATGGAGGTTGAGGCATTACAATTTTGTTTCAAGGGGCACAAACTAAAATGTTAAAACATGTTAAAAAGGCTAACAAAATCGACTCCTAAAACTATTAGTCTTTTTTTATTTTCCCTTCGACATAGTTTTAACTAGTTGGAAGCACGTTATGCATGTGTAAATCTATCAGTTTATTAAACTTTCTACACATTAACTCAAAATTTTGAAGAGTTTAATTTTTTTTATTTGAATTTATTATTCTTACTTTAGTAAAAAGAATATATTTAAGCAAAATTATTTGAAATACGCCTTTCAATCAAAATATGTTTTTGGATGAACATTATACATGTGTAGATAAGTACAATATATTTGAGCAATGAAGATTTTAATAGGTAAATTAGATAAAAAAATCATTTAGGAAGTAAATAATACGTATAAGAAAATATAGTTGAGAGTGACATAAGAAACAAAAATTGTTAAAGTACGTAGGGACTCATTTGAAGAAAAAAAAAAAAACAGCTTGAACATGGGCAAATTAGAGAAAAATGTGTTTATGAGAAAATAGTAATTGAGAGGAAAAAATACTTAATTAGAAACACATTTAACAAAAATTATTTTAATGGATCATATAAACTTTTTTTTATGAGGCTCACTTTTGATATAATAAATATTGTATGAAAAAGTATTTTACAATGGACAAATTTGAAATAAAAAAAAAACTGTTTTCGTAGGAGTAAATTGGAAAAATATAATTCAATTAGATACATTTAAAAGTATAAGGCTTAATAGAAAAAGATCAAAAGAACAATAAGAAAGGAAAAACAAATGAGATTAGATTTTTTGGAGATATATTTTGTTAGTGCATTTTTGTATTGGTTTATTTTTGGTAAATTGGTTGCATATTGTTTGGAAGCTTGGCTGGCACAGCAAATAGGTGACCTTTTTAAGGAAAGTCTAGTTGTCTTGTTTAAGGGCTGAAAATCAGAGGAGTTGATTGCTGAGATTGAAGAGTGGACTTTGGGAATTAATGGCCGGAAATTCTTTAGGCTGGAGGTTTTTTTTTGTATTAGACATTGAACGGCAGCAATGGTGTGGAGTTTTTTTATGTATTGTGCTGAACGTATTTGAGCAGAAAAAAAGTGTTGAAAACAAAGTATTGCGCGTATTCATGAGAGTATGAGATTGTAATGTTAAGAGTCGCTTGATGTGTTGCGACGGATTGTTAGAACACTTTTGAGTTGGTTCTTCGGGAGAAGATTTCTTTGGTTTCGAGAGGAAACCATCAAGTCGAGTGGTGCTCGCTGATCAAGCCTCCTAAGGAGATTCTAGGCAACGGCAACATCGTCAAGGAGGGAGTCGTTGAGTGTGTAAGACCGTTCGGTCCTTTGTAATCTTTTAAACTTAGTGGATTGATCACTGTCTGGGCGTGGCCCCGCAGAGTAGGTGTGCGCACTGAACTGCGATACCATTTTCTGGTGTCCTTTACGTTTCTGCATTAGTTTCCTGCTTAACTGTTTTGCTGGTTTAATTTTAGATTCTCTATCACAAAAAGTGTTACAGTAAAGTGTTATAACACTCTCTGTGACACCGACCGAATAACGGACCTAACATTTTGAAATTTTTAGTAATAAATAGAGGTATATATGAAATTTTTTGAAAAACTATAACAAGTAAAGTAGCAAAAATCTAGGGGGGAAATAGAGCCCACCTCCTTCCGCCACGGGGTGGTGTTCTCATGCCCCCAGCCAACGCCTATAGTAGGAATAAACTGATTCTACCAGTGCAATGAACAAGGCCCTAGCTAGATTCGTCCTTGTAGAACAAAGACTAAATTCTTATGAACCATGTTGAAGCAAAAACGAAAACACAATAAGAGCTTTAAGTTTTTACCAATTTCATTATAAGTGTCTATTTATGCCGTATTAGAAATTCAAGTCTCATTACATGCAAAACTAATATGCAGATAATTTATACAAGAGTTTTCACAATTATACTACCGGGGGTATACTTCAGTAATCATCGATCCATCATTAACGGACCATGATATTGACTTGCTTGTAAATTGATCAGATTCGTGATCCTTTGCTGCCGTGCTTGACTGCATTCTATTACGATGGAAAAATGCTGGCTGTTGAGGTACAGGAAGAGTAACAGAGTAACTGTTGAGCATGAGAACAATTGTTGCCATTGTTGGTCTTAAAGCAGGATTTTCTTGAACACATAGCAATCCCATATGAATGCATCTCATGACTTCATTTCTAGGGAAGGAATGTCTTATTGTTGGATCCAACAACTCTAAGGGAGTACCTTCCTTCCAAAGTTCCCAAGCCTGCAAAGTTCAGAGTGATGTT